TAACCAAAAACGTGTTTTGAACGCATTTGGAGAAAAACAGATATATTATTAAATAAAGACGGGTTAAACCCACTTAGGGTTATGGTCATAAGTGAGATAACAATTTTACAGGTGACCAATCAGTGAATGCAAAATTAGACATTGTGACATCCTTGTTTACTTTTAAATTTTGCAATAACCATTTTTAGGAACGTTTGATTGTCATTTTATTGTGACAAGAAATGAAAGGAAATATTTGCTGCCAAAAAGAATTTCTATGTTTTCTGATAGTGCTTTCTTTGAGTTGTTTAGTAATAGACGAACTTGGGTTTCTTGTGTGAATAACAACTTCCCTTTGTGATGCCGAGGGGTCAAGGACTTTGTCCTCATACCTTGTGGTGTATTCCACATTAAAGAGAGTGATCCTCATGTTTTTGTTTTACATGCGAGGTGTATTCCTCGCCGTTTGTATTTCTGTTGGACTTTGTTTTAAGATCATGTGGTGTATTCCACTTTACAGAGGGTTATCCTCCTGTTGTTATTTTACCGGGGCATTTGATACGGGAGCTTTTAGCGTCAACTTTATTGTTGACAGGTTTTCCTTGCCCATTTTTATTTTATGATTTCATTTGTTTGTCTTAATGTAGCCGCTGTCTTATTCTAATTCTTTTGTTGAAATTGATGATGCCTTTTCTGTAACACTGTCATTCTTCCATCTTTCCTTTTACCTCTATGTTTTTAGAACTCTTCCATGATGTCAACACGACGATCTCCACATGCCGTACCCCATCTAACAAAGCTGTACAAGCCGTAGCCAGTAGTCAGCCGCCTAGAAAGCGGCCGCCCACAAGTCTACATTCATCCCAGGCTGGTCCTTCTTTTGGTGTTCCTCCGGTTTGTGTCCAAGAGATTCCCCTGTCGGCTGACATCACTGACACTATCGTCAGACGTGTTACGGAGGCAGTTACAGAGTGTTTGGTCAGCGGCGCCAGTCCCGTTTTTCAGTCCTTGACAGCCCCAACATCCAGCCATCCAACTACCAGCTCAGCTGCTCCAGGCTTAGCTCCGCCTGCCAATCTACATGAGGTCCCCATCGGGTCCCCACCTGCTGCATGTACGACACATCAAACTCAGGGCGCTGGCCCAGCTACCTCAGCTCCTCCTGTTCCAGGCACTGAGGCGACGATAAGTACAGCAACCAGCCCTTCCTCCTCAGCTCAAATTACTGAAGCGATTTGAGCAACCGCTGTATTTTATTTTTCACTGACAATGAGGCCTTGGTGCACGTGATAAACAATCATGCAAAGACCAGCAACTTATGTTTTTTGTGCGTAGATTAGTTTTAATTTGTTTACTTTATAATATCTTGTTCAAAGCTAAGCATGTACCTGGGATCTACAACCATCTAACAGACTCTTTGTCTTGCTTGCATATTCCAAAATTTCTTCAAATGACACCAGCCTCCATGGATCAATCACCAACAGACATCCCCCATCACCTGCTGCCACAGAATTGGCAAATATAGTTTTACTTCTTATCAAATCTAGCCTGCTGCCATCTTCAATTCCTACATACAGGAGGGCGTAGAAGCTTTTTTATCAATTCATTTTAAATACGTTGCCAGGTACTAGTTCGGAAATTCTTATTTCTCCGCCTACTTTAGCACTCTTTATTGCCTATCTTTTTTATCACCATTATGCACCATCCTTTGTTAACACTTATCTTTCGGCCATTGGTTATAGCCACAAGTTTTCTGGTGTGCAGGATCCAACGAAAACCTTTTTTATCACTCAGATGCTAAAGGAGTATGGGAAGATTGGAATTCACCTCGACAGTAGGCTATCCATCACTTTGCCCAATCTTCATATGATACTTTTGGCCGCAGCCCAGCTTGTGGACTCTTTTTACAACACATGTCGATTTCAAGCCATGTGCTTGTTTGCATTTCACACATTTTCAATGGTGGGTGAAATCACTGCCTGAGGCAACAACATTCATGTACACCAAGTTTCACAGTTAGTGAACGATAAGCAAGAAGGTCAGGCGATTAAAATCACGTTTCTCAGGTATAACATAATTACAACGAAAGCCCCTTTTCCTTACTTGTCTCCCATCAAATATGGTACTTGTCTTACTTACAAGCCCGAGGCCACACTCCTGGCTCTCTTTTTCTAATGCCTGACAGCTCTCCCGTGCCTTGATCAATTTTTACTGAAACGCTTTCCACTGCCTTCGGTTTATTCGGTCTTGATCCGTCCAGGTGCAAATGTCATATTTACCGCATTGGGGCTGCAACACATGCTGCTGATAAGGGTATGTCTGATGCCCCGATTAGGGCCATGGGGCGCTGGAAGTCTAATGCCTTTTTGAAGTACATACGCATCAACTCAGTGTTGAATTAGCCCTGGCAACAGTCAGGGGATGTTGCCTCGGGCCTCCTTTTCCCTAGCGATAGGTCTGATTAGCAGGGGCAGCAGTTCTATCGCTGGGGTTCAGGTTTTTTCTTTTTACAGGGCGTGTG